GGGAGAACTTGCACAATTGGTGGCTGACTAAATACTTTTTTGCCCCACTGTATGCACAGAACAGCATTCATAAAGTAATATAATTTCATATTTATTTAAAACATTTATATAGTGGCTCATCTTGTACCAAACCCTGGGCAGCTCAAAACCAAAAAATAAAAAAACAATATCCATTTACAATAAAAATATTAAAACCAAAAATACTAAAACCAAAAAACCTGGCACCATAGCTAAACATTCCAATGCAGCCAGGTCTTGAGTGCTGTTCAGAAGGTTAAAAGAGTGGGGACATGCCTAACTTCAGGGAGAACGGTGTTCCATAAATTTAAGAATTAATAATGATGAATAATACATTAAAGGCTTCTAGCTGCTCAGTCTTTAAAACATTTTTAAAATTGGTTTAGCACAATTGGATTTTACTCCAGTTCATCAAATGCATGGAAAAGTATTTTTGATGTCTTCCAAATACTTTTTGAATCCCAAGTCTAGCCTGTGGCAGTGGGACTCCCTGGGGGTCTCCCATCCAAGACTGAACCAAAACCTAGCCTACTTAGCTTCTGCCCAACCCAGCCAAAGTGAGCCCTGTGCTGCCACACCTGAGTTCCTCCCTAACACAGTGCCATTCAACAGCAGGGAAGCAGGGCCAACACTTGCTTCATGCAGTGTTTCTCAACCTTGCAACTTTAAACTGCATGGACATCAAGTCTCATAATTCCCCAGCAAGCATGCTGGCTGGGGAATTGTGGGAGTTGAAGTCCATGCAGCTTGAAGTTGCCAAGGTTGAGAAACACTGTGCTACAGTCACAGTGGAGTCCTTGGTCCTCTCTGAGCTTGGCTGTTTGCTTGCAGACATTTCATTGCCTGACTAGGAAACATCATCAGTGCCAGAAGACAGTGGGGTTTTCTCCGTTTATATACAGTGGCTTGCCCTGCCAGCAAGCAGGTTGGTGGTGGTGTGGTTTTCTCCATAGGATTGTTCTCTGCCTGATCGCACTTGGAGGAACAGGACAAAACCCCGGGTTGGCCTCCAGCCATCTACCAGTGGATTCAGATTTAATTTGGACTCATTCCCGGCCTTGGATAAAGACCCGGGAAAACATCCTGAGTGGGACAGGAAACTACCGATCCTCTCTTAATTCTCCCCTCGGCGCCCTGCCCCACTGCGGGGCCTGCGCGCTACCTCCGCCACCCCGATCTCTCCCGCGCCGTTTGATGGAGGGGCAGCCCCTCGCTCCTGCGCTGGAAAGGGAAGCGACCACAATCCTCTCCCACGGGAGCCACGCGGTGTTCCCCGCGCTAGCTGGCAGAGAGCTCAGAGCGGCGCTTCATCCTCCCGGCAAGAGAACCGCACAGCTCCCGGGCGCCTTCGCCGCCTCGGGCCACGGAATTTCTTGGCGATGCCCCCCGCGCGGGCCAGCTGCCAGGCGGGGCATCTGCACTCCCTGCGGGCACGACGGGACCTCCTCCAAGGAAGGTCTCCAGGCGGACGGGCGGGAGATCTCCTCGCGAGACGCCTTCAACGTACCTCGGCGGCAGCCGCGCTGCCTCTACGGTCACGGCCGCCGGGCGCCCAGGCGAAGCGCCGCGCTTTCGGTTTCGTTTCGGAGCCGGAGCGAGTCATTGGCGGCTGACCTCGCAGTGGGAGGGTCAAAGGCTGGGGCGGTGGGGGAGGCGGGGGAGGAGGAAAATGCCAGTGCGGGCGGCATCCTTTTTAGATTTTGTTTCATAGTCTTTGTTTGTTGTGGTGCCTTTGAGTCAGTGTTGCCGCCTGGCGACCTCCTGGAGTAGTCCTGTAATTTCCTTGGCGAAGTTTTTGGGAGTGGGTTGCCCTCGCCTGCTTCTTCCTAGGGCGGAGAGAGAGGGACTGGCCCGAGGTCACCCAGCTGGCTTCGTGCCTAACCGGGTCTCCTGGAGCCTTAACCGCTACACCAAACATATTCTGTACGTGAGTGTAAGTACAGACAGTTGGACAGAAACTTCCCTGCGTTTTTTTATCCGCACAGTGGTGCTCCTTCCAGTCTACTTCCAGTCGAGCTTGACTCCTGCTGATCCATGGAGTTTTCTTTCCAGCCGCGCACAAGGGGCTCCGCGTTGCTTCTTCCGTGACTCCTTTTCTACTTCCGAATTTACTTTACAGACTTTGCATTTCCTCATGGTCTCCCATCCAAATACTAACTGATCCTGCTCTGCTTAGCTTTTGAAAGTTGTCCTCCTAGCTTTAGGGTCTGCAACAGCCTCTATACCAGGATGGGGCTGTGGGAGTTGGTGGTGCTGTTGAAATAACATCTGGTGGCCCTCCGTTATTTTCAGAAAGATTAACATGATACTCTGAATTCCTTTGCCACAGCAGTCCCCAACCTTTTTGGCATCAGGGACCGGTTTTGTGGAAGACCATTTTTCCACGGACCGGGGGGTGGGGCGGAATGGTTTCGGGATGATTCAAGCGCATTACATGATAGGGTTTTGATATGAGTCTGCAAGCAATTGATTTATTATGTTCTCTGTGCAGTCAAACCTCTCTGTTAATGATAATCTGTATTTGCAGCCACTCACTATCTCAGCTCCACCGAACATCAGGTATTAGATTCTCATAAGGACCATACAACCTAGATCCCTCGCATACGCAGTTCACAGTAGGGTTCGCGCTCCTATGAGAATCTCATGCCGCCTCTGATCTGACAGGAGGCGGAGCTCAGGCAGTAATGCGAGCGATGGGGGGCGGCTGTAAATACAGATGAAGCTTCGCTCGCTCGCCCACCGTTCACCTCCTGCTGTGCGGCCCGGTTCCTAACAGGCTTTACGAGATACATTCAGACAGACAAAACTGAGTAACCGAATAGACTACAAATCTCTGGAATTGTTTTCAGCACGACCACCTTCTGGACCACCAATGAGAACTGGGACTTGGGGTACTCCTCTATGGTGGTTCTGCTCCTTCCTAAGTGGGTGGTAGCAGTCAATACTCCTGGGGGATGTGTGGTTGAATTTGTAGCCAGAGAGAGCACAATATGCCTCTGTCCTCTCCTCAATTTATTTAATACCTATGTGAAGCTGTTGGTGGAGATCAACCATCAGTTCGGAGTGAGGTATCATCAGTACACTGATGATTTCTAGTAATATGCCTGAAGCCAAACAGGAGATACTGTGAAGGTTCTGGAGGTTGGAAGATATGGATGGGATAAAACAAGCTAAGGCTGAATCCTGGCAAGATGGAGTGGATGTTGGTCCAACAACAGTGTTGCGGGTGGATGGTTTGCCCACTGGCACAGGAGAGAGTGGGACACTCCCTGAAGTACCAGATCTGCGACTTGGGGGTGCTTCTAGAACAGCTATGTGGAAACTATGATTGGTGCAACATGCAGCAGTCTGTATGCAAGATGATTCAGCAATGTAACATCTATTGTAGGTCCTGCACTAGTTTCCAGTAGGCTTCTAAGTACGGTTGAATGTGCTTGATTAAGCCTATAAAGCTTTCAGGGTAAAGGCCCAGAATACCGATGGGACAGTCTTCTCCCAGTTGACTCTGGCTGGCTTCTCCATTCTCCTTGAGATTTCCTTAGTTTGGGAAGTGAAGGGGGTAGGCACCTCAAAGCAACGCTTCTGTATTGCTGTCCCAGCCCTCTGGAATATGCTTCCCCCAAAGATTTAGCTGGGCCCCGCTACAGGGTTGCTCAACCTTAGCAACGTTAAGATGTGTGGACTTCAACTCGCAGAATTCCCCAGCCAGCTTGGAAAACAGTGAAAACATGGACATGCCTTTGGAAACTAACATCTGCTGTATACTTTGCTTCCTATCCAATTGTCAGTGGGCTATTTTAAATATTACTGAGAGTTGCTACGCAGCTTATGATTTTTTTCCTGATTTTTTCCTGATTTGTTAACTGCCTAGGGATATCTAATTCTGGTGATCTAGAAATACTGAGGGAGGGAG